TTCAGGACGCAAAATTTTGGCGCTGCCCTCGTACATTATAGTTTATTTCTTGCAGTTTGCAACCTAAGAGTTATAACGTATGTCCCAAAAGGTAAAATGAGTTCAGAATTATTTGCGTCAATAGTGACACTCATTTGGGAAACAAGGTGTCTCGTTTATTAAATACTCGCTCCGCTCGTGCCAAATAAACTCGTCAGTCAAATGCTGTTTACCGCACTTATTGCATAATATACCATTGTCACATCATAACCATAATGCAAGGACTGTCACTAATACAGCTATAGAATCCAATAGAAGATGTAGGTATTCTGTAAGTTATAGAATATCACTTGAACCATATTTTTATTCTTTTAAGGCTTTTCTCTTTCTTACGAAACTTTCGTTATCATTTTATTTATTACACTTCTGTTATATGATAGATGTAGATATGGTGTTGGTATGCAAGTGTAACAATAACTTTAGTCAGTATTCCGCAATAAATAATCTGTTGAATAAAAATGTAATAAATAATTTAAATCGCTATAAATATTTTATGTTGACGGAACAAAAAAAGAAGAATTTATAATATCCTTTGGTTCTATTAACATCCGCAACCGCGGCTGCGCGATGAAAACCTGTAAATTTTACATTTTTTTTAAAGAATTCAAGTTACGAACCTCTCAGTTATTCGTTAAAAGTTACATTGTTATTTCACTTTATAGCAGTTACAACATTTAATCTTATCGGGCATGCCATTTCTATTTTAGAACAGACGGTTCATATTTATAGCAAAGGAATAATTTATACTTCTAGAAGTAATTTTGGAATCGGAAAACAATTAGTTCAACTCCTATGAAAGCGTATTAGATTATAATTTCGTCCGAGTTAAAATCGAATTTCATCCTCGTATTGTAACGATATTGCGATCATAAAAAAAAGAAGCAATTGACCTAAGGAATTTTTTTTATCCTGAGGGCAATAATTGAGTTAATTAAAAGCTACAGGGTGGTCACTTTTTCAATGGGATTGTATAGGTGATTTTTAAACCATAACACAATTGTACAATAAATATTGTGTATTTTGACGCAAAATGAACTTATTTTAAGTTCTAAGGAAATTATATAAATATGATTAATTTCAGCATCATTACTAAATAATGTATTACCATATCCTCACTGGGCGTTGATTATATTTTACTGAGCCATGATGTGCGTCGTCTTCCGGGTCTTTTTCTTCCACTCATTTTACCTTACATAATCAGGTTTAACATGTGATATATGCTATTTCTCATAATATGGGCAAGATATGCAAGTTTTCCTTCCTATTTTTTTGTAAGAAGCATATGTCAGCATCCATGATACGGATCCCTAAAAGAAAACGAAAAACACATACCATTTGAGGACTCGCTGTCTAATTTGTGTGTTTGAACGGAGATAAAAGAGGATGTTTTTTATATTGTAGAAAAAAGAAATTTTGTATATTTATTTTTGCCTTTCCGATATTGTGTCATATCCCAAACTGATGCGATGCGAATGATAAAGTATTATAATCCTCCTGGGTTATCCACAAGCAGAACAGGATAGTTGACATATCGAAAGGTACGTAGTTCACAACAACTCGCTCTTCAATGCCATTGAGCGCTCCTCTCCACATGTGGTCTGAGTATATGTTGATAAGATCCATCCTTGACGGACTCCTCTTTTTATTTGCCAAATTCTTCAAAGCTCTTATTTTCTCAATACCCTTGCAGTTATTCTAAGGTGTGGGGTATTCCCATTGTTTTAAGAGTATTAGTGTAGCTGACTCTATCAAGTGGTCCAAGTCCCAGAAGCAAAAATGAACATTGATGTTAAGAACTCTTCCTGTTATATCAAAACTTGCGTGCCAAACAGTGGCTCTCTGGTATCGAGACCACTTTTGAATCCAATCTGGGCGTCATCGACTTGCTTTTCAATAACACAGGCCAACAAAGATTTTGTGATTTGTTTTTTTTTCATATTTTTGAAGTTAAAGGGACAAAACTAATAAAAAAAACAATGTTTTTTTGAGATGTCGAATTTATTGTTTTAAAAATTGATTTTGCATAAATTAACATCATTTCTTTTTAAAATGCCACGAATTTGTAAAAATATTCCAGATACGTTTTTTTTATGCATGGTTTTTTTGTGGTCAAGAAATTTAGACATAAAATTACACCCCTGTTTAAAAAACCACACTAAACTTATTTTGAAGTAAAAATTGGTTATCAAGACAAACTATGGGCGTCACATATTGTTTGTGAGGTTTGTGAAGAAGGAACATTGGAATAATGGATTCAGGAGAGGTTGTCGGAATGCCTGTCATATGGAGAAGGTCAACAAGTCACCATGATGTTCGTGGATTTAATACTAAAAATTTGAAAAAACATTGTTTGTCCCTAATATCGGAGAATCCAGCCAATTTAGAAGAAGATATCACAAGTTTTTCTGAACCTCAAGTAGCTGAAGATGCCCTTAGTGATATGGAGTGTTTCTCACCAAACACAGTTACGTTCACAATCACAACTTAATGACTTAATTGTGACGAACGTTTTTACTTAGTCTCATTTTGTCGCTTGGGCTCTGGATAATTGCTGTAAGGGGCAGTCCCTATATACTGACATCAGCAAGGCCCTTGATTTGCTGGACCAAGGAGTATTACTGAACAAACTTCAGAAGTTTGGTATTAAAGGTGCATTTCTAACGTGGCTATCTCCAGGGCAGTACTCTACAGATCCAGGCCAGTTGTTTTCTCTCCCCAACATAGATGTAATATCCGGCATGCCTCAGGGGTCCCATCTGGGCACAAAATTGTTTCTTCTTCTGGTAAATGTTATTGCAGATCATTTGGAGTCAGATTATTCACATTTTGCAGATGATTTAAAAATGTACCGCTGTATACGGTCAGTTGTCAGTCCCTACAAAGGGATATTAATTCGCTAGTGGAGTGGTGTAGGATGAACAATTTAAAATTAAATACTATAAAATGTGCCTGTATGGTTTTCTCTCGACTTTAAAAATCTTATTGATTGCTCATATATAATGGATGAGTGTGTGTTGAAGAGAGTGCAAGTAATAAAGGATTTAGGTATCATTATGAATGAATCGTTATATTTTGGCAGCATTTTGAGGATGTCATTAGCCGGGCTAACTGGATGTTGGGTGTGGTGTGGAGAATGTCTGAGATTTTGAGAATTTGGGATGTATTGTCTCGTTTTACAGTTCACATGTCCGTTCTATCTTGGAGTATGCGCAAAACAATCTGGTCTCCTTTTTATGAAATTCACAAACAACGAAATGGTCTGGTCTCCTTTGTAAATCAATACAATACCATTGATTACCTCGGTGTTCCTTTAAATAGCTTTCTAATTAAATTAAGACAAATTTTGTTAAATTGATTTGTAGTACTGCCATCTGAATGATATGTAGTTTTTTACTCTCCATAGTTTCTTATTTTATTTTTATTATTATATCCTAGTTTAAGTAAATATAAGGTTTATCTTAAATATAATTATTAATTAATTAATTAATATTAATTTCTAAAATGGTGTAACTATTGAAAGAATAAATAAATAAATCAATCAAATCTGCAACTACTGCTTAAGAAAATCAAATACAAAGACAATGATTTGTGGTGACTTAAAAATTGTGGGATTTCTAGGTCAGTAGTCAGGATGTACGACCTACCCCTGTTTTTTGTATTAGTGGAACAGTAGAAACAGACAGCAACAACAAAAAGAACTTACCAAGAAGGGTTAATTTAATTCCCGGATCAAAAAATATTCTTTACGATAGTCTTATTGATCCACGAAAAATTCTCTTACCACCGTTGCACATTGCATTGTTAAAGCAGTACGTTAAAGGTTTAAATAAAGATGGAGTATGTTTGAAATACCTACGAGAAAAAATTCCCTTTTTCTCAAATGCAAAACTAAAGAAAGGACCTCAAATAACTAATGGAAGATCAAGACTTTGTGAATACCGTGATCGAACCTGAAAGCGTTGAATGGATTTCATATTGCTGATGTTACAAAAAGTTTTCTAGGAAACAAAAACTATCCAAATTGCAAAGACATTGTAGAAAACATGTTAGAGAAATTTAGGAAAATGGGATGCAATATGAGTATAAAACTACACTTTTTAAACTCACATCTAGACTACTGAGAGGTTCGAACAAGATATAAAAGAAATGGAACCCAGATGTCAAGGTGGATAGAACGTTTTAATGATGGCAGATTACTGCTGGTCTTTAAAAAATTGCAATCCGGCCATGGAATATGCAAGAAAATCCACTAACTTAAGTTTTGATTGGATCTTCCAAAAATAAATTTGCTTAACTATTTAGATTTCTTAACACAGTTTTTGTTCATGTACTAATAATTTTCTTTTATTCATTCTTTTAATGTTGATAAAAAAACCCTAAGTGATAGATGAAAAAGCACTTGAAAACCATGACTTATCAAACTAGTGGTCCTATAATCCTTCTATTTTTTTTAAGAGGGCTTTTTTGCTATTGTAATAAATACTAGGATCATCCAGTCGTTTGGCATAGTTCCAGTTTGATATATTTTGTTAAATAACTAACAGTTTTCCTGCAGTAGTTTCAGTATTTCGCCATGTATTCCGTGGGGACCGGGAGTTTTATTGTTTTTAATTCTTTGAATTTCCTTCGTTATCTCATTTCTAGAGATACCGAGATTTGTGGCACCCGCAACAGGAAATTGAATATTTTCAGGGATTTGTCCGTTACTTATTACTTTGACAGTTTTGTAAGCAGTGGCGTCCAACCATACAGCTCGACGGGAGCAAAAATAACTAGGACAAAGGTAAGAGCCCCGTGACGTTGGCGGGCAGGACCCCCCTCATCATCATCACCATCGAAAACAACAAGCCGACGGCACGCGCGAGCAGCAGGTAGCAGGCGTCGCGGCGGCGGCGCGTCGTCATGCGCCTTGGCGTCGGCGTCGTTCGATAGCGGCGTCGGAGTCCAGTGCCGCACAAACCATCTGAACGCGTGGTGCTCGTAGCCAAACGCACAAACAAACAGTCACGCGTCCGACCACAGAGAAAAAAAGGGTTAAGGGTGAAACCACACCGTACGGTTCGATTTACCTTCGACACACCGCCGGGTGGTAGAGGGTGGGGGGACAGTGCACTTCGTACGTCATCTCGGCGACTTGATTTCGCGGATACACACGAAATAAAAGAAAACGTTAAACGGTGTTGTCGCGCGTGTGATGGACTGAGTGTGTCGGACGTTTCGTCCTTTTCCAACGGCCACGTGTGAGTGGGGAGACGTGGTGTCGGACTGCCTCACGGTGCGGGTACCGGCAGGTCTCGTTACCAAGGCGGGACATGTGCCACCCAATGGGGGGGAAACCACCTCCGAGGAAAAAGCCTCCTTACCGGTAAGCGGGAGTTGGAGGTTCTCCATTTTCGCACCGTAATCGCACGCAATCGATAGCGTTTGTTTACTTTGAACGCGGGATAAACGGGTTCAAAACTGCGCGATCTGATTTGTGTTCGATTTAGGGCGGCCATTTGGTTATGGGAGGGTAATAAATAAATCTTTCTCGACCACCATTGAAATCTCGAGATAGGAGAAACGTGGACTACATTAAGAGATTAATAATGTCGGCGCTTGACAATATCCTGCTCAAACACTTTTAAAATTCTTGGCAGATCCAAAATTTACATTTTTGGGTTATTTGACGAAATAGTATAAATTCCGACTACATTACGATACTTTCGGCTCATTACATTTTTGATTGTGCGCCATATTGTATTTTTAAATCTAAAAATAGTTATTTTTGTTCTGACTACGTAAATGTATATTTCATCATCTTTGGGGTTCGCAAAGTCATAAAGTTGAATCAAAATGTCCCAAAAGTCCACCTTAGTGAAATATTCGCATTTTATTGCTCTATACAATGTGGCCCAGATTCGCATCTCTATAGAGAGATCTCCGTTTCCATTATACCTAGAGCAAAGGTTAAATGGCGGATTCCGTTTTTCGCCAGTGAAGCCAAAACGAATATATTGACAGCTGCCAAAATGTGACATTTTTCAGAGAGCTTTTCAGCGTGTATGACATTCCTTAATCGTTTTTTATATCTGGTAACCTGGCATTCATTTCATTTTTCTTATCGTCGCCATATTTGATTTTTGAAAAGAGCGTAAAATTTCGGTTCAGCGATGTCTCACAAGTGCACAAATTTTTTTTTGTTAAGTTTGGTGTTAATTATTTTATAAGTAGGTCAACATTTATTTGTCACCTTTTTTTCCATCTAAGTTTGACTATGACGTTAAATAATTTAAAGTATCAAAGTTGTATTTTAATAAGCAGTACGTTTTGTCTTATTAAAATCGTAAGTGTAATGTTATTTAAGTCAAAAACTTCTTAACGAGAGAATTATTTCATTAAATGGTTCGATATTTTGGCCTCCTAGATCTTTAGCTTTCGCACTGGGATTTCTTCCTCTGGGATCACACAAAAAATATAGAAATATATGGAAAAACGCTTTCTACGGTTGTACATGGATGCAAATGGAAGTCATTTTGCAAATCTGCGTAATCATGTAATTAGATTTTGCATTACATTACTTGTAAATTATTTCTGTCGCGATTTCCTTTTTCAATTTTTATCGAACTTGTGCGTTGTTTATGTGTTACTTAAATGAATGAAGACCTTTCTGACTTTTTCTTTTTAAAAAACACACAGTCGATAATTTGAACAAAATATCTAAGTCGTCCTGTGTGTAATTTATTAATGTTAATGTTAAATAAACCATGGCCTACTTATCGAATAATTAAGATTTATCTATACGAACTGTGATAAAATCATTTGTACACTTGTAAGACAACACTCAAGTAGAAATTTCACGCTCTTTCCAAAAATCGAAAAATTCAATATGGCGACCATGAAAATGAAAGTTAAGGCGAGTTGCGAGAAAACAAAAGGCAATTGGGGCATGACATACATGTTATCTTAAATAAAATAAATAAGAACTAAAAGTTCAGATTTTCACGAAATTATATATATTCTCATGACAATTGTTTCGTGTCTTTATCAAATATAATATTTACAAACTATCTGCTACTAGCTACTAACTACTAGCTATCGATCTCCAAGAATATATTTCAAAAACCAACATTTTCCTTAAACCAGAACTTTTCCAATGTATCAAACTCGATCCTACCGAGTTATATCAAGGAAGTAATTACTAACTCCATACTATTTAGTGACAAGGACAAGTATTTATTAACAATTATGAATCCACAACCGCCGAAATTTTATTTTTTAGTTAAGTTACATCAACAAGATATGCCCATTAGACCAGTTGTGTCTTATCTAACGGCTCCAGCAGTTAAATTCTCAAAAAAATTAGTAAATATCTTAAAGTTCCACACAGATTTTAAACCAAAATTTGCAATAAAAAATTCTTTTGAATTAATCAATAAAATTAAAGATATCAAAATCCCTTCTAATGTAACACTATTGTCTTTTGATGTACAAAACTTATTTCCCAGTATTATACCTATGGATGTGATAGATTTAGTAGATTTCACCCTCACTCGGAAACAAGTTAACCCATTGGTGAAACAAGATTTATTAGATTGCTTAATAGTATATTTAGAGCAAAATTATTTTCAATTTAATGGACACATTTACATCTCTTAGTCCTTTGTTAGCCGAGATTTTTATGGTTAATTTGTAAAATATCATACAAGAACATCCTTTAAGTAAAAGTTTTCTATGGTGGTATAGATATATGGATGATGTCTTTGCTTGTTTTGTCGGAACTGACAGACAATTGAATTCTTTTTTAAATTACATTAACTCATTACATAATCGTCTAAAATTCACTATTGAGATTGAAAAGGATAACTCTATTATTTTTTATAGACTTAACTATTACGAAAACGCAATACAAATTAAATTTTTCAATTTATCATAAACCTTCACACACCGTTATACACACAAAACGGCTGCATTTCACTCTTTTATATACATAATTCTTAATACGCCACTCTCAACAATAAATTACAACAAAGAACTTAATATCATTAAACAAATTGCACTGAACAATCCATTATCGATAAAATTATAAATAAAAAACAAATCCAGACAACAGTAAACTCTATTTATCCGAAACTTAATACAGAACAATTACTTACATAGGAGAACCAAATGAAAAAGTTTCAAAACATTTGTCAATAGGTGGTTTAAAAATAGTTTTCAGAACTTTTCAGAATTTTCAAAAAACTATAAACGAAGTGTCAAAAATCTCAAAAATCAGGTGTCTACAGGTTGATATGCCGATCTTGTCCTAAAAGTTATATTGGACAAACAGGTAGATCCTTCAAGAAACGCATTAACGAACATAAAAGAGTGTTTAAAAACAATAGTCTATATTCTAATTATGCTACACACTTAAACACAGAGAAACACATTTTTGACGCCAATTTTGATATTTTACATACAGCCACAAAGAGTAGAAAATTAAATTTACAAACAAAATGAGACATGAGCTTAATGATAAATTAGATTTAAATACCTCTCCATTATTAAAATTCTCACATTAATTAAGGTTTTATTTTCATTTTTCGGTGTATATCGTAGCAGGTAGTTGGTAAATATTACATTTGAAAAGACACGGTGTTGTCCAAACAATTGTCATGCGAGTATATATTATTGCGTGAAAATCTGAACTTATTTATTTTGTTAAATGGATTTTCATGAAGTAAAAGCCACATCAGTTCAATTCACGTTATCCTATTCGTCTTAAAAAAATTTTTTTGGATTTACTGACGAAAAACGAAATCCGCCATTTTCCTCTAAGCCTCCTAAGCGAATCTGCGTCATATCAAATCAAACATGGCTTTAAATTGCTTTTGCTATTTTTGCCGTTACATACAGTACATAGTGGGTCACTTTTAAACGGCCATTGGCGATAGACGAAAACTAGCGTCGGTGTTAAGCTCAATTTTCATAAAATACTTCATTATATGAGTCTGTTACAAATCTGTGTCTATATATTGGCGAAAATAAAAATTTCAGATCATGTCGCGGATATCTCGAAGCCATGTTATATAAGTCTGAAATTGTTGTGTTGTTGTATTGTCGTACGACATGAAAATACAATTATGTAAGAGTCTTGTTCTCTCTCGCTTGTCTCACTGCAATATTGTATACTACCCCTGTTTAGACGCTGTGGTCTCTTATCGGCTAGAAAAAGTACAGAGTATTTGCTGCCGTTTAATTTCGAACTTACGCAAATCCCACAGAAGCATTAAGAAATTAAATTGGTTAAACTTAAAAAACGTTTTCAAGCACAAATTGTAATGCTATTTGAAACGTGTGATAAATTCCAGACCGCCTAAATATTTAAATGAAAAATTAGAAATTAGGAAATCAATTCATGAATCTGAATCTTAGACACCGAGCCGCCCTCACTACGCTGTTACATAGAACATAGAAATTTTTTTCTTGCTGAGTCAAAGAAGGAAAGTGCAAAAATAAAGTGCAAATTAATGTTTTAGTAAAGATTTTCTTTGATATTCGGTTTAAGTTTGGTTTGGTGTGCTTTTAAAGCCAGACTTAGGCCGGGATTTTCCGTTCAATTTAGAATCAGAAAAATAACAATTTCACAAAACTTCTATTTCTTCCAAAAAAACTCGATCAAATTATCAATTATGCTATATTTTTGAAAAGGTAATTTTAATTTCTTTTCTAATAAGATGTTCTATATAGAAATTTGATTTTTCTGTTAATAATTAATAAAAAAAAAATTTAAGCCATAAGCTTCAAATACCAAGAAAATTTGTGGGATTTTTTTGAAAAATGCACATTTTCGAAAAACACGCTATAACTCTGGAATTGAAACGAATATCGCTGGACAGTTTTTAACGTTATGTTTTTCATGAAAATCGAGTTCCAGACCAAGGAGAGTTTTCTCTTAAAAGTGTCCAATTTGGTACACCCTCTACAGTGTGACCAATTTTGGTTGTAAATGCAAGGCATCTCCGTTATTAACAAAGATAGAGCTATGCGATTTTCCTACGTCGCTTCATTTTTGAGATACAGGGAAAAACTAAAAAGAAATCATTTTGAGAGTAACTTGTGACTCAGTCTTCTTTTAACAATTAGGAGAATGAAAACTGTTTCTTTTGGCCTAGAATTAGGTCAGGAAGTTGTGGGACGCCCTTTGGTTTATTTAATGAGACACCCTGTATATTTTTTACTCATTACTCATTGTTCAGCTTGTTTTCAACTTTTGAAAAATACTTATTTATACTTGCGTATAAATTTTTCGTAAAAACAAGACTCAATTTAAATTTTTTGAAAAGTTATATTTTTTTAAACAGTGTTGGCATACTCCCTGCATTTACATCCCAAATTAGATGA